GACACCTGTCCCTATGCAAGCCTTTCTGTAGAAATTCTGTAGCTCCTGTGAATGCTATACTGGATTTGATCAACTATGTTCATATACAGTATCAGGAATGGGGTAACCAAGCTTGCCAACCAGACCAGAGATGAACCCTTATAAAAGCTGGGCCAGTAAGAACCTTGGACAGGAATTTGGAATCTCTGAAAGGCTATGCCACTCTCTAAGTATTGGTGAGTTGAATGGCTATTTTTAATGGGGACAGATATTTTTCATCATGACAAACCATATAGCACCACGAGTGAATTACAGTGGAGCAGAAATAATAAGCAACCTAATGAAGTCAGTCTGCACAATATCTTCTGTAATAATTTTTATGAGAAGTTTCATTTCAGTCTCTGTTTTGTGCTCTTTTTGTACCTTAAATACTTGTACATTAAAGAAAATTTATGCTAATTATTTTGATGTTAAAATAATTATTAAATAAAATTAGAAATGTTCGTTGTACTCTTTTCTTCTTTGGGCAAAGTGAATATTGAAATTTTTGCTTAATCTGAAATCTGCTGATTGAAAGGAGGATAGAGATATACTTTGTGGTGAATTGACAACTGGTAGTCAACTTGCAATACCCAGCTGAATTTAATGAGCATGGTGCTGGGTGTGGGAATGCCCACCTGGGGACTGTTGCCAGCATCATAAGAGGTAGAATTGGAGAAGAAGAAAAAAGGTTGTTGAGAGCTGGTAGAAGTTGTTGGGAGCAGAGAGAAGCTGTAAGGAGCTTTTATTGTCTCGGAGGAGCTTGTCATGCTGGCTTTCCTGATGAACTTGGCTGTTTTCATCCTCCAAGGAGCTCAGGACCTTGTTGTCACTGAGAATGGCTTTGGTTCACTTTGGGGGAGCTCTGGGCCTCACTTTGAGCATCCCTTCCATGCTCTGGAGGGAAAGATGGTGCACTATTCAGTCTCCTGGAGAAGCTTGTTGCATGGCTTTCCTGATGGGAACTTGGCTGTCCTAATCATCTGAGGAGCTCAGGACCTCACTGTTGCTGAGGAACTTTTCAGGGGAGCTCTGGTTCTTACTTTGAGCATCACTTCCTGGCTCCAGTGCAGATCCCTCAGGCTGCTAGCACAGATCCTTCATCCCACTGTCACAGACTTTCTAGATTCCACCACTGACCTTTGGGCCTTCCCAGGACAGATCCATGAAACAGGCCTGCATGAGATGTTGTCATGGGGCTAGGCCTCCAGCTGGACTCTTGGGAGGCATTGTTAAGGGCTCTAGGTCTTCAGCTGGACTCATGTGGGACATTATAATAGGATCCAGGCCCTCAGCTGGATTCTTGGTCTATAGTGTGTGGACAGATATCCTGCGCTCTCTTGTCTATGATTCTTTGGGTGACTATTATAAATAATCTTATAAAATATGTGTCCTGTATTATGTAGTTTCCTCTTGCAATATCCCCCAGACTATAACATACTTCCAAATGGTTTCTTTTCCTTGAAATAAAAGCACCTTGAGAAAATTGTAGTTCAAATACTATCACCTTTCTGAGTAGCTACAGACTAGTACAATCATTAATATGTGGTCAGGTTTAGTACACTATAACAATATATACATTTTATTATCCAATAGTGAGACCTAAAATTACTGCCTACTATGGGCTAGACATAATGGTAAACATTATTCTCATACTTACATTCTATATTCTCACACTTACAATACTCTATATTCTCTCCACATTATCAATAAGGTTATATTCTTTGCCCATCATGCAGATGGAGCTTGAGGAGACTGTGATTCCACTCCAAATCAATCTGATTCCAAAGACTGTATCTAATTACTCTACTGAACCAATTTCAAGCACTAATATTTGTTTATTGTCTACCTTGGCAAGTAGCGAGTACCTTAATGGGAGAAACCAACCCTGTAGACATGTTTTTTAAATGACAGCATAGTGCTCTCTGAGCTGATTAATGTCAATAAATATATATTGAGGTAAAAGTTCCTAGCATTACCTAGATTGTAGTCCTAGATTATTAAAGTGACTATTTCTAAACAATTCTAATGTGCCAAACATCTAAAGACCCACATAAGGGTACATATTTGTATAATATCTGATGTTCTAGGTATTTTCTGTATTTTTAATGTAAAGGTAATACATTTTATAAATTTGATGTTATGCTCAGAGTAGTGTTTTAGAAGACATAGAAATTATAATAATAAACTAAATGGAAGACATTTTATTAGCCAAATAGTATTTTGTCTATTTTCCTTTAAGATTCTAAAAGAAAGTTGACAACATGAAAAAGTTAGATAATGCAGCCAACTTTAAAATTAAAGAAAATTTAATGACCTTTTTTTCCACAAGCAGAAGTGAGTGCTCATAGTGCTAAGAAATTAGAAATATTAAAGCTCAATTATAAATGTATAATTACATTACTAACTTTGTGAATGAATTAGTGAAATTTGATTTACTGTAGGGAAATCCACAAATGTTTTGACTGACTAAAATATTAGTAATCATATTTTGATTATTACTTTTAAACACTATATCCTACCTTCACTGCTATCAATAAATTAAATAGTTAAAATATTAAGCTGTGCAAGCAACACATGAAAAGGGGTGAGGGATTTAAATTTTTTTGTTGTTTGGTAATTGTTTTAAAATTGAAGTAATCAGAGCAAATCACCTTCAAATGAGTGTCACGATTACTGTTTACTATAAATTTGTTAGGATAAGCCTGTAGTTCCCTTTTTCTCCCTTGAGAAAACAAAGACACTTATTATCACTAGATTAGTGATAAACAGACATCAAGATATTTTTCCTAAGCCGGGCCTTATGGGCAGCTAGAGAAATCATATAGCTACACATATATGAGGACAGGAACACAATAATTTTGTACCCATGGCACAGATTTGTTAGAGTAAAACCTCTGGAAACAATGTAATTATCCATGACTGCTTAAATACATTAGAATATAATGATATTAACATATTACACACAATGTCATTATTAAAAGCAGTGTCACCTCTTTATTATGCAGGAAGTTCTTCAAGATTCTCAAAAGTAGAGACTCAGGTGAAGGGCAGGTGTAGAGCATGTTAAAATGATAAAATACTTCATGAAATGTTCTTATGTGGATGAATTTTCTTTTGTAATACTGCAAATCACCAACACAAAATATTTTATGCAGCCGTTATCTACAGTTCTGCATATCTTTCAGTTCTTCATTTCTTCAATGATTCTGAGTTGTATTTTATCTGACTGTGTTCTTCCAGCCTTCTAGCTAGTAAAACATCTTGGTTTTGATCTATTTTCTCACTGCATGAAGGTACAGTTTGTTTTTTCTGGAAATCTCTCCCTCAGTTCTTGGTTACATGGGAAGGAGACCTATCCCCACTCTCTTAATCTTGCTCTCTCCCTCCCTGTGCTGAAAGGGGCAGTAGGTAGGACTAGACCTCTGTCCACAGACAGGGAAGGGCAGAGATGAGGTCTCTGGCTACAGTAGGTTCTGGTAGAAAGGAAGGGATCCAATAACCAAGGCCCTTCAAGCATTTGCTCCTTTCCCTTCTTAAACAGAAGGCCCTTCCTTCTTCTTTCCATGAAAGGGTTTCCTGTCTCCTTTCCTCTATTGTACTTTATTGGAGAAGGCAGGCTTTAGAATTGGCCTTTTTGGCACTTCAGAAAGCAAACACATGTAGAAAAAGAAAGTTTCTCCTGTGAGGAAGCTGAAACTTCCAGACAAAAGGAATGTACTCACAGACATCCTGCCAGGTTCCCACTTAGTGAAGAGCCAACTGAAGCCTGTGTTCTGTTGGCTGGGTCCCTAGACACTAAGCCACTTCCGGGAACACAAAAACAACAACATTCTAGGACATCTGTGCTATTTAAGGAAACATTTGGACAATTAATCACTTACTACTATCCTGTGAATGGCTTGAACCCACTGTTTTGTGGTTTTCATGTAGGTTTTTAGAATACTGCAGCAAAAGTATAAATTGGGAAGGTGATTTCCCCCTTTCTGAGTATAAATATCAAATCTGGCAGGTAAACATGCAAAGATGGTTTAGACTTCATGGTATCACTTCTTGGCCTTTTGGCTAAGATCAAGTGTAGACTTCATGGCAGTGAGCTTGCTTTAAGACAGTATATTCCGGGGCTGGGGATTTAGCTCAGTGGCAAAAGCGCCTGCCTGGCAAGCGCAAGGTCGTGAGTTCGGTTCCCAGTACCGGAGAAAAACCAAAAAAAAAAAAAAAAACAAAACAAAAAAAAAGACAGTATATTCCTATCCTTATTTTAGTTACTTATATAATTACTCAGCTCATTTAGCAAGAGTGGGATATGTGAGATTTTAAGATTATTACTTAATAATTATTTTCAAATTAAAGATAATAAAATAAGTCTTCCTTATATGCAGGGGTATTAAGATATTTCAAATTAATTTTTTTCATACACAATTGGCATTTGTTTGTTAACTGTATTTCCATATGTATTTCCTGCCAACCACCAAGTATTTGGTACTACTTTTAGGAACATTTCCTTTCTTGTCTAATAGGTATTGACCATTTAGGTAATATTAATGTACCAGAAACTATTTTTGAATGTAGCAGCGTAAGATTCAACCTGATACTAGCACAATCATTTCAGTTATCAATAGACAACACATTTCCTTTAAATTTATTCAGTATCATCTTACATTTAGATAATATATTTTATCTGACCATCATTAAACATGTCATATTTGTTTTTCTAAACACACACACACACACACACACACCTTTTCTAAGAACACAGACCCAAATTATCAGTGATTGTAACACTTCATGATATTAAAAGTTCAATTTTGTTTCAAGGACTGTCATAGCATGGAGTGAAATATGTAAACACTGCGATAAGGCTAGCTAATTCAGGAAAAAAAGCTAGGATTTTCATGTTAAGTTTTAGATGCCTATCACTTATTTATCCAAGAGTTTTTTATGTTCTAGACTCTAGAATTAAAACAAGAAAGAGCTAGGTATTTAGAAACTGTAAGCTAAAGTTATTTATTTCAGGTCAACAGGAATATTTATTAGTCAAGGTAACAATCAATGTGCACAAAATTTACATAAAAAGAAGAACAACAGGCAATGCAGCACCTTTAGAAAAATAATTAAAAGTTTTGTTGCATTTACAGGTAAGTGCCACACTGAGAATTTACAACAACACAGTAATTTACTGCAACCACAGGGGCGTTCCATAAAGAAACAGAGCTCTCACACTCCACGTTTTCAGAAGGTATTATTGGAATGCTTAACTATAGTCACAAAATGTGTACATCCCTTAGGATTGAACTGGCAAGTCATAAAAGATTTCCATAGCATATATTATATAAATGGAGTCCACTTCATCTGGACAGCCGGTTTAGTGCCGTTGGCAGGTGTGAAGCCTAGAAGAATTACTGGCTTGATGGTGATCTTTCTGTATCCGGCAAGACAGCCCTTCTCCGCAGTAACAGCGCTGGAATATCTCTAGACCATGGGAGCCTTTTCTCCTGTGTTTGGTGCATACTTGACCTTCTTTGAGGACAGGTTTACAGATCTTGGACCAGAAGTGTCTAGCACAGCACAACCCTGTGGCACAGTCTGATGACCGAAGACAGACAGAACCTTCTTGTCCTATGAAGGAGATGGTAAGAAAAGCAGAGTTACAGTACTGATACACCTTCACCATTTCGTTCAGACAACACAAAAGCCATTTCTGATATGCTAAAAATGAAGAATGGATATGGAGGTGCTTTGATCTACCTTTGGTGTGATAGATTTTTGAAGACAGCGTGGTTCTTCTGGAGTACCCATCCAGGGTGCCGTGATCATTACCAAAGCTTTCGATGATGGTTTCCTCGATTTCCCCTCTGTGGAAATGACTGTGATCGGAAGGCATACAAATTCCTAAGGAAGCAGGAAACAGCAATTAATCCCAGGGTTGTGTTATGTTACGGCTAACAGCCAGCCAGGAAAGAAGTCTGTTATGCCCACACCAACCTGAGACAGTGTACTGCAGTGACTTTCTTTTAAAACTGTGCCAAACTCCCTTCCTAGTACTTATCAATGTAAAACTCCCCAAATGGACAGAAGTATCAGTGACCGTACAAACAACACCGTATAATCACACGCAACACCCCAGTACAACCCTTTAAAATACCTGCCCTATAACTGTAATAGTGGCAGTGAAAATACTGCCCATTTTAATAACAAAATAAGGTAAGAAAGAGAAAACCAGCCACTTAAAATTACTTCTTAAAAATAAAACTTCTCTATGGGTACAAAATTAAACAAATCCACTTCCAGCTGCCTGGAAGGTTAAATCTCACCCACCAGTTACTTCACTGTATAATTTCTATATTACAGAGACTGAGTTAATTCATCCTAGAGTACTGACTGCTCTGTCCTAAAGAGGGTAGCCACCCTGGAAGTTTATTTCTGGAGACCTCTTTGGCTGTCTGAGTACCTCTTTGGGAAGTCAAATTTTTGTGGATCTGTGGTTGGGCGGAGGAACAGTTATTTTGGCAGAGGGTGGAGGGAGGAGGAAAGATGGCGACAGGGTGCTAGGGTACCGAGACCTCCCTCACAAACGGCCAGCACGGATAAATCACCCCATCGCCTGGGTGGTAAGCTCTGACATCCAGGGACAGCGAATGAAAGGCCAGCCTAGCAAAGCCACGCGAGGCACTTTAAAAGCAGATGGAGTGGGTACCAAGATGCCCGCTTCCCAGGTCTCTGATTCAGGATGACCCCACTGCCCTCCCCCGCCCGCTGTCTCAGCCGAACCTGGGGTCCCCGTAGACAAACTTTTACGAAAGGGTCCGCTCTGAAGTAAACCACTGCGGGCGCGGAGGAAGAGCAGCAGCTCCCGACGCGGAACCTTCATCCCTCAGACCAAACGCTGGGAGCCGCGCCCCCGCCGCGCGGCCGTCCAGGTGCAGGTGGCGCCCGGGATGCGCTGCCGGCGGGGCTCGGAGCCGCGGCCGGCGGGGGCGGGGATCGGGCGGGACTCACCGTTCTTGCAGTAGTTCCCGGGGCAGCACATGGCGTGGCGCAGGCAGCGTTTGCGGCGCTTCCTGCAGGCGAGGCAGATCTGCGCGCCGGCGCCCCCCGCGCGGGCCGCGGCGGAGCAGTACTCGTCGGGGCCGCACTCCTCGTCCTCGGCGCACGGGAAGGGCTGCGGGACGGCGGGGCGTGAGCCCGGCCA